GACGCCGGCCGCCACTCTTCAACGATTCTCGCATCGCCGCAGCTCTGCCAAGGATGACCTCTGCTGCAATTTTCCAGTCAATTCAAGTCAGGTATGTACTCTTCTTCTTCTTCCTCTTCTTTTCTTCTTCTTTTTCTTCTTCTTCTTCTTCTTCTTCTTCTTCTTCTCAGCCTCTTCAATTTTCTGATACTCTGTTATCTTGTTCTGTGGATTTCAGTTTTATTTATAAAGCAAGAATCTGATAATGCCATAAAATTGTCAATAATTTTTTTGAAGAATGTCATTTATGTGGCATTACATCTATGAAGATGACATTTTTACTTTGAGATTAAAAAACTTTAGAAAAATTTCATAATTGATGTTTAATCCAACACGGATTTGTAATAATGTCACTTTTATGACATTACATTTGCGAAGGTGGCAGTTCAAAGAAAAAAAATGACATCTTCAAAGAGTAATAATGTCATTCGCATGACATTTTTGAAACAAAAATGACATATTTAAAGTGTCAATTTGTTGAGTAACAATGTCAGTTTCATGACATACTGTCGTCTTGACAAATGCAATGTCATAAAAGTGACATTTTTCTAATTGCTTGAAATTTATGGCATTTTGAGGTTCCAAATTAATCAAAATTAATAGAGGATAGAAGCCGAGAATAGAGGATCAAAAATTTGGACAGGATTAGAAGAAGAAGCAAAAGAGGAAGAAGCAGGAGAGGAAGAAGAAGACACAGTCGATGGAGGAGTTGGCTATGCGAGGCCAAGCAGTCGATGGGGGAGCAGCCTTCCATGGGAGGAAGAGATGTTCTGCGATGAATTGAAGAGTCGGCGGAGTGATGCGATGAGTTGCAGGGGCTTTTTTTTTTAATTAAGGGCAGTTTTGTCAGGTTGCCTCTTTTTAGTCCTATTTTTGCCAAATAAAACACAGTAGTCCTACTTTTACAATTTTACCTAGTTTTAGTCCTATTTAGGTAAATCTCTCTATAGTTATTTGTAAAAAGGGATAGAACTCATCAGATATATACCTCATCAGCTGTTTACTCCAGGGGGCCAAGACCCCCTTCCCCGGACCCCCTAAGAGTAAAAAAAAAGTAATAATAAAATAAAAAAAATTAAAAAAAAAAAAAAAAAAAGTAGAGTTCCATCCGGAGTCTTTATATACTTTTGAACTGACTTCTCTCTTGTTGCACGCTCATCCTACCACATGAGCTATAACCGGTACTAATGGATATAGTTGTGACTATAGTAAATGGTTTGCATTTTTTGTGTTGCCAACTCCCATGCGTAATTAGTTTTAATTTTAAGAAAACAATATTACTTTGTGGATAAAATCGTTTATAGTTAGCTACAAAAGTAGTTAAAGAACAGTTCAAGGTGATTTTTCAAATTTCAAATTTGGCAACACTAAAAACATGAAATGGAAAAAAGTTAATTTTAAATTATACTTTAATAATTTTCAGATATGAAAATAGAATAAATATGCACACTTGGATGTATTAAAATTTGACAAAGTAAAATTAAGGCAAATTGTATACGGATAAGGTTCAGATTGGACATTATGATTATTTGTGAATCTCATATTGGCCACTAAGGTTTCAATGGACCAAATCGGACACTACATTTACTTGTGAATTTCATATTGGCCACCAAAATTCCATAATTCGTTTTGGGAAAATGGAAACTAATAATCCAACCTTTTAGCAGTCTTCTTACAATAGTCCCACCTTTTCGTTATTCAAGAATAATCCAACCTTTGCACCTCATCTTCATTCACTGGTCCCTGACCGGTTCATGACCTGCTATTTCAAGTTATTTTCTTATCTTTGCAAAATATTATCTTTGTGAAAGGTGAGATTTATGGTATAATGGTTTGCAAAGATATGAAAAATAACTTGAAATAGCAGGTCATCAACCGGTCAGGGACCAGTGAATGAAGATGAGGTGCAAAGGTTGGATTATTCATGAATAACGAAAAGTTGGAACTATTGTGAGAAGACCGCTAAAAGGTTGGATTATTAGTTTCCATTTTCCCATTCGTTTTTGGACACCCACTTATGTGTCTCTTCTTTCGTTAATATAAATTGGCAGTCTTATTTTTCTTTTCCGTTTTGGTATTAACAAACTAACTTAATTGATTTATATAATTTAGAAAATTTAATTTGAGATTTTAAAATATGTAGTTAAATTCTTCGAGTAATTAATAATTTCTTGTATTTAACAAGTTAAAAATATATTTCGGACTTTTCATTTACATGATTTTTATGGAACTTTGGGAAATATCGATTTGTTAAATTGAAATAACAAAATTAAAGAACTCAATTGCCTTATAATAGATTTTCTTGATTAATCAGAAAATCTAATTATATATTCTAAATCTAAATAGATAAAATTAAATTATTTTTATTTTCTAGGTACATAAAACATAGGAAAAGGAATACTAATAGCTTTGAAATGTGAAAAAGCTTTGGTTAGTGTCCAAAATTGATCAGAAAAACGTTAAATTTAATCCATTTAAAACTTTAGTGTCCTATTTGAGATACACATGTAACCATAGTATCCAATTTGGTCCATTTAAAATCTTAGTATCCAATATGAGATTGTATGTGATTATAATGTTCAATTTGAGCCTTATCCCTAAAAATAATTGATCCAAGCTACTCCGTACTAAATAGCAAATCGTAAAATCGTTGGCTGCCTTCTCTACTTTTCAAATATATATATACATATGGATATAAACATTTTTCGTCTATTAAAATCACAAATTTTAGTGTTACCAAATAACACATTAAATCTCATGAAGTATGGATCACTATATAAATTCTCGAAAATATGTAAATAATGACAACCACCATCCTGAAGACAAATTAGTGATAGGTCTTGAAAAATCAAAGACCCCAATTTTAGCCGCCCAAGCTATATGCTAACATGCCCCCACCGGAGTCGTCCCTGCATGTTATATGTGTTCCTAATTGTTTAAAAAACATGTTTATCATTACTCAAATGGACCCCATATAGTAAAAGTGTGAACCCTTTCAAATTATTATCATTATTATTAATTTATTGTTATTATTATTATTATTATTATTATTATTATTATTAAGATTTAAAGTTATAAATGTGTGTATATATGAGTGTGGGGGGCTAAATACTAGTCTATAATTACAACTTTCTTTGCTGTTTAAATATAAATCCAAAGTTGAGATTTGTTATTCATAAATAAAATATTGGAAACAAAAGACCTGTTCAATCGATATCAAATATATAAGCCTTATACTTTATGATAAGATGGCCAATTTTTTTTGGTAGTTCTCCTTTTATAAGGAGGTTGTTCCAATTGAATAATAAAAACTTCAAATAGTCATATACTTTGTATATGTTTTGTGTAATTACGTAATTTCTAATATGAGATATTAGACTCACACTTTAACACTATAGTCTATAGACATTGTTACTATAACCATAACCCACGATTTGGAAACGAATTAAGTGAGCTATGAACTATGAAGAGACATAAATGTCAGTGTTGTGACCGATCTCTCAAATGCAAGAGTGTTTTTGTGAACACACAAAAATAAAAAATAAAATAAGACTACATGTCTCAATTAAATTAATAATTTATTTATTAGTATTTAAAAAGAAAATGTGTAGCTTTGAACACCCAAAATATAAATATATACTAGGTGTGTCACTCTGGTTGTAAATTAAAGCACTCCAAACCTTGTACTCCGTATTATTTACGATATACTATAGTATATAAAGGAGAACCTCAATTTACTCAAACGCATTATTGTTCGATTGTATGTCTGTAGAATTTGGTTTAACTATATGCAATTATTCAACATAAAAAATAGGAAAAATTGAAAATAATAATCCCAACTATTACCCATCCGCTAACAATAATCCCAACTATTGATTATTTTTGTATAATCCCAACTATATGGGTCATCCGCCAATAATGGTCCATGACCAAATATTACCTCCTATAAAAGTGAATTTTAAATAAAAATTAAGCGTGAAAATTAAAAGTTGAGATTATTTATAGGGATTACTTGCTATATCTCTTCTCATCCACTTTAGAAACTTCATAAATTTATTTACAGGGACTATTATTGGCGGAAGGTCCCTAAAGTTGGGATTATTCTGAAATAATCGATAGTTGGGATTATTATAAGCGGACCGCCAATAGTTGGGATTATTACAAACAATTTTTCCTAAAAAATAAGATCCTTAATTCAGTAATGAGTCCCATATAATTACGGAAAGTTGTAACGTCTAGTACCTGCATGGGTAGTTCAATTGGTCATTGAGGTGAAATTTGCAACAATTCTAATGTCAATGATATTGGATTACTGGCTAATATTTGCAGGACTCTAGTAGTTTAATTGTAATATGGCCTTGTATTCTTGCATATAAAAAATGTAAAACTTCAAATGGGAAAATCCTTTCTGCTCGCCAGTGCTAATATTCTCTCTTAGTTATACCACTGTTTATATAACCCAAATTTATCTAGAACTAAAAGTCATTGAAAGTGTACATATAAGAGTCTTACAGAAAACAATGTTTAGTACGATTTATACATAATAATGTATGATTTAGGGATTTCTGTGTAATTTCCATAACTCTGTGTTATTGTTATAAATATAATGTTAAGACATCCAACAGGGTAAGTCATTATTTCTCAAAATTATTACAAGTGACTTGTACATATAGAGTGAAAAAACATCCATATTCCTTTTGTACATTTTCCTATTATTTTATCCTACATTAGGTAATTTTTATCTATAAGATGCAGATACTCACCTAAATCCAGTTCCGTTATCGACTTATCGTTATCATATCACATTTTTCTTTTTTGATTTATCCCACTAAAATTGTCGTCTGCACCACATAAACACACTTTTGTTGATACTTGCATCATGTCTTCATGTAGAATATGTGAAATAATAAAAGTGGAGAATAATGGCTTACCTCACCGGTAGCCCTCACGTCATATTTATACTAATAATATAATAAGGTTTAATACAAATGGGCCTAACTATGTCCGCTATTACACCCCCTCAATCTGTGCGGGGGAAATAACGTGCAGATTGGAACGTAAAAATTCAAAACGCTGACTAGACAAATTTTTGGTAAATATGTCCGCTAGCTGAAATTGAGTAGGAATGTATTTGACTGTCAGATCCCCATGGGCAACACGTTCACGAACAAAATGGTAGTCTATCTTGATATGCTTGCTGCGATCATGCTGAATAGGATTGACTGCAAGATAAGATGCTGAAACATTGTCACAAAATAATTTTACAGGATTTGGTAAAATAATCCCCATGTCGTACAGCAGGGATCGGATAAACAGGGTGTCTTGGACGGTGTAAGCCACAGCCCGATACTCAGCCTCAGTAGATGACTTGGAAACCGTAGGTTGCTTCTTGGAACGCCAGGAAACAAGATTATCACCAAGAAAAATAGCATAACCTGTAGTAGAGCGGCAACTATCTGGGCATCCTGCCCAATCCGCATCAGAATAAGCAACGACCACAGATATACTTTGACCCGAGCGTAACCATAGGCCATGCGAAGAAGTACCCTGTAAATACCTGTAAATTCTTTTGACAGCAGCAAGATGAGTAGTACGTGGAGCATGCATAAACTGGGAAACAAGGTGAACGGCATAAGTAATATCCGGTCGGGTAATAGTCAAATACTGCAATGCACCTACCATGCTGCGATACTCAGTACCATCACTAAGAAGATCTCCATCAGTGAGAGATAAAGTGGTGCGGGACGGAAGAGGAGTACGTACTGGTTTAACTGTATGGAGATGAAAGCGGTGTAGAAGATCAGTAGTATATTTTTGCTGAGAGAGAAAGAGACCAGCAGAGGTACGACTAGCCTGAATACCCAAGAAATAATGAAGATCACCAAGATCCTTCATAGCAAACTGACCGGATAAAGTATGAATGATCTGACTGACCAGAGAGGGAGAACTACCAGTGATAAGTATGTCATCAACATATAATAAGATGTAAATAGTCTCGGACGGGGACCTAAAAACAAACATTGATGAATCAGATCGGCTCTGGGAAAAACCTCGGGATAATAAGAAGCCACTAAACCGGTGAAACCATGCTCTAGGTGCTTGTTTCAGACCATAAAGTGCCTTACGGAGACGGCAAATATGAGTGGGAAACTGAGGATGGACGAAACCAGGTGGTTGACGCATATAGACTTCCTCGGTAAGGTGACCATGAAGAAAGGCATTTTTGACATCTAATTGACGCACTGTCCACCCCAAAGAAATAGCAACAGAGAGAACTAAACGCACAGTGGTTGGTTTGACAACAGGACTAAATGTTTCAGAGAAGTCTATTCCAGCCTGTTGATTAAAACCCTGAGCGACCAAACAAGCCTTATGGCGCTCTATAGAACCATCAGATAAATATTTTGTCTTATAAATCCATTTACAACCTACCACATTTTTAGTCTTGTCACTAGGTACTAAATCCCAAGTGTTATTAGCAATAAGAGCGTTAAATTCATCGGCCATGGCTGCCCGCCAAACTAAACTTTTGTTTGCTTGAGAAAAACATGTAGGATCAGTTGGGAGAGCTAAAGTGTTCAAGGTAAAAATTGTTTTAGGTTTAAAAATGCCATCTTTAGCCCTCGTGCGCATTGGGTGAACATTAGGAGCCATCGGAGGGGAGGGTGGTGGTGTAGGAGGCGAATTGGAAGTGGGGCTAGCCGTGGAGGAAGACGGGGAAGGAGATGGGGGCGGACTGTATGCCGGGGTTGATGGTCGTGGGCTGCTAGAGGGTGAGGGTATGGTGGCCGGGCTGGATAAAGACGAAGGAATAGACGGTTGGGGAGATGCTGGTGCGGTACTGGGTGTGTAGGGAATGATTTGAGAAGGTAATATACTGGTGGAGTGGGAATTATTGTGGGACGAAGCAGGGGGTAGTGGTAAGTGATCCGAAGTATGTGTGGGGGACCAGGAAGAGATTAAGGAACTGCTGGTGGTTGGCTGAGAAATTAAGTTAGGGTAGGGGAAATTGGTTTCAAGAAAAATGACATCCCTGCTTATATAGACTCTTCCAGTCTTAGGATCGAGACAACGGTATCCCTTGTAGCCCGGTGCGTAACCCAGAAAGACACAAAGTATGGAACGTGGGGAAAGTTTATTTGACGACGTAGCAACTATGTTAGGAAAACATGCACAACCAAACACACGTAAAAAACTATATTCTGGAGGTTTAAGAAAAAGTTTCTCGAACGGAGACACATTACCCAAAACAGGTGTGGGTAGCCGATTAATAATGTAAGTAGCTGTATATAAAGCATCTACCCAAAAGGAGGTAGGAAGATGGGCAGTAATTAACATGGTCCGAGCTAATTCAAGCAAGTGACGATGCTTACGTTCGGCCACACCGTTCTGAGCAGGAGTATCCGGACAAGATTTTCTAAATAAAATACCACAATTGTGAAAATGTGCATGAAAAGAGGAATTTACAAATTCACCACCTCCATCACTCTGAAAACATTTAATTTTACAGTTAAACAAATTTTCAACTAAGTTTTGAAAATTACAAAAATGAGTAAAGACTTAAGATTTTCTATGCATTGGATAAATCCACGTGAAACGAGAAAAATCATCAATAAAAGAAACATAATATTTAAAACCTAAATTAGAAGACACAGGTGATTGCCACACATCTGAATGAATAAGTTGCAAAGGAGTACTAGAGTCATGAATAACATCTGAAAAGGGAAGACGATGGGACTTGCCCAGTTTACACGAAACACAGTCATGAGAAAATAAAGTTGAACTAGTAATTAAATTATTTTTCCTAAGAACAGATAAAATGCGATCCCCACAATGACCAAGTCTTTGGTGCCAGACTGGACCAGGAACAAGTGTAGACTTGAGAGCAATCGGAAGGGCTGGCTGGTGAGCGGCTTTGAGGGGATAAACACGGTCTTTATGAGAGGCCTGGAGGAGGATGGCTCCCGTGTGGTTGTCCTTAACAATAAAATAATTTTTATTAAAAATAACAGAGCAATCATTATCCGCACACAACCTTTGAATAGATAATAAATTGTATTTGAGTTGCGGGACATGAAACACATGTTTTAAACTTAACGGGCGGCCATTGGTGGATAAATTAATTGTGCCAATATGAGAAACTTGAAGATTAGTACCGTTAGCAACTTGAATAGAATGTGGGCCATTATAAACGGATTTATTTAATAAAATACCTTCTGAGGGAGTCATATGAGCCGAAGCTCCTGAATCAGGATACCATACAGAGTCGTTTGATTCACCCGTCGGGAGAGCCGCCAGAGCTGGAGTATTTTGGTTAACAAAACGGGAGCATGACAGTGCTGAGTGACCTGGAGAAAAACAAATCTGACAGACAACAGGTGGAGGGGGACTCTGAAAGGAATTCTCAACTGAAGGAAATCCTGAAAAAGTGTGGTTAGTAACACAAGATGATAAAGCATAAGTATTGGCCATAACACGACAAGTATTACTTAAAACCGTACCTGGAAACCCATTATGAGACTGTCCACGAGGAGGAAAGGGTTGTTGGGGCGCTGGAGGAGGCATCTGCCAGCCGTAATACCCAGGTGGAGGAGCAAAGGCCTGCTGCGGTCCACCATATCCTCCACGACCTTGCTGCTGCCCGCCATATCCACGACCTCTGCCGCGATTTCCACGCGGTCTGCCACCCCGAAAGCCACGACCTCCGTATCCCCTGTTTTGCTCACCCCCTCGACCGGCGGGACGTGGTCCTACGGCTGGATCAGTTGCTGCAAAAGCTTGATGCCCAGGGTGTATATTTTGGGATCGGAGATAGAGAGCACGCTGCTCCAACGCTAGCAATTGTGGGCGAAGACTGTCCACGGTAAAACTATCCGGGAAGAGTGTAATGGTGGTAATAAGGGACTCATATTCCTTTCCAAGGCCCTGAACAGTGGCTGTGAGGAGTTCCCGGTTGCTAACTGCTGAATTTATGCATGCTAGGGAATCGGCTAAATTTTTAATTTCGTGGAGATAGTCATCCATTGATTGAGACTCCTTTTTCTTAAGTGTGTTTAACATTCGTTTTAGTTCAATGGAGCGGGCAATGCTCTCTGCCATAAAACGGGTTTCCAACCGTTCCCAAATTAAAGCGGAATAACGAATATCATGAACCTCAACCAACATATCTCGGGATAGAGTAGCAAATAGCCAGGAGCGGACAGTTTGATCAATTCTTAGCCACGCACTATATTCGGGATTGGGAATGTCACGACCAGTGGGGTCCAAAACAGAGGCAGTTGGGGCTGTTATAGAGCCATCTAAAATTCCCAATAATGCATGTGAAACTAAGAATGATTCAAATTGTGTACGCCACGGAAGATAATCCTCAACCTTGGCTAGTCGAGTAGTGACTATGTTGGTAACATTAGGTGTAGAGAATGACAACTGAGATGCTAAACTAGCCAAAGGTGAAACAATTACCGTAGCAGGGTCTGGCCGAGTGATTGATTGTGGCTGGAGAGCATTAACGGCTGGATTACCAGCCCATGTAGGGCCTGAAAACGCTGGCAGAGAAGAGGAAGAGGAAGAGGCCCGAGCCGGAGATGGTGTCCAGGGCCGGTTCTGGGGGGAGGGCAAAAGGGGCGACCGCCCTAGGCCCAGCAAAAAATAGAAGAAATAATAGGCCCAATTTTTTTTCTTTATGTATAGTGTTAGTAGGCTTCTTTTTTAATTCTTAAGGTCAGTTAATTAGGCCTAATGTTTAATTTTATTGGCAATTTGAAAATTTAAAATGTAAATAAAAATTTTTAAACAGAGCCAAGTTTAAAAAAAGAATATGTACATTAATATTAAGAAGGATCAGTTGTAGTTTTTAAAAGAAATACAATTGTTGCTCCATCAAAAAAAGAATATATACATTAATTTTAAGTAGGATCTGTTGTAATCTTTACATCTCTTTAGCCTTTAAGGCTTTTTATTCATTTAATTATAACATAACAAATTTATATAATTATTTTAGAGCCCATCTCTCTCAAATCTCATCCCCATTATTTATTTGTTTCCAAATTTCAATAAACTATATATATCTGAGTTCCTAATAGTAGTTTAGAGGACGTCAAATTGGCAGTCTTCTTGCGAGAGTGTTCTTGGCGGCTATACATTTTGTCTCTTTGAAACCCTTCATTCTTTTGAGACTTCAAACTTTAGACTCCCATCAACGGTCAATAAATCATTCTCAACTTATGAATTCAATATGTAGTGACATTTTTTTCATATTTCCTTTCAAAAAAAAGTTTAGTGTTGTTATATGTGGCAATTTTATTGTTTGTCATGTATTAATAGAAAGAAGGTCGCCTATGAAGCTATTATTGATTATTTGCTTCATATTGTTCTACGAGAAATGTTTTTTACTGATGTTTTTTCTTTTTATCCGATACTTGTGTTGTTACTTTTGCCCAAATATGTAACTTAAATAATAATAATAATAATAATAATAATAATAATAAAGTGATTTTTGACTTTATTTTATGAACTTCATTGTACATTTTTATTATAATTCTTATTTCAAATAAGTATACGGTCATAGGCCCAGAATAGCGTACCGCCCATAGGCCCAGAAATGGTCAGGACCGGCCCTGATGGTGTCCTAGCGTGAATGGGAGGCGGCGGCAGCGTTACTGTTGGGGTCCATGAAAAAGGCTCCGGCATGTTGAATAAGTTAAGCGAAGGCAGCGGCGGAAGCTGAAGCCGAGATGCTGATAATTGTGGAGAAAGTGTCACGCCTGAGGATGTGGGCAGCACCATCGGTGAAGTGGGCGCCGAAATTGGAGGCATCATCGTTGAAGAAGGCGTCTGAGTTTGCGGCTGCACCGAAACGTTGGGCGCCGTGATCGACGTAGATGAGACGGTCGACATTAGGAAGTAGGGTTGAGAGACCTATGCGACTGATACCATGTGAAATAATAAAAGTGGAGAATAATGGCTTACCTCACCGGTAGCCCTCACGTCATATTTATACTAATAATATAATAAGGTTTAATACAAATGGGCCTAACTATGTCCGCTATTAGAATAATCATTGAACACGTGTTATGTCTACCCAATAAAATGAAATTGTAGCGTATGAGAACGCAATAACTAAAAGAAGTTGGACACATAAATGAAACGCGGGTTGACCGAGTAGGCTTCAAGTCA